ATTTTGTACCGGACATATTCTCTAAGAAATTAAATAGATTTTGTCCGGTACAAAATATAATTGAAAGCCCGATTAGGAGTTTTCCCTTGGCGGCACTCATATATTTTTTATATACAGTCGTCTTCCTCTACAGTCACCTCCTATATAGTCACGCCCTCTTTATAAGCACCATTTTTTGGTTATTAAAAAAACTTTATACTGTTAATCACATTACTATCTTTTTTATGTAAAACAAACCGTGTGATTATAGAGGAGGATGACTGTAGTTATTAAAGTTATTTACTATATCGATTTTAAATTTTTATAGTTCTCAGTAAATTTAACAATTTTTCAGGTAGTCTATTATCACGTGATAACAGTTTATAGTCTAACATGGACTAATAACAGCATAACAGATAAGGTTTCGAAATTTCAAAATCAGATTCTTTAAATATAGCATACATAACGTAGATTTAGAATATAATAATAATTGGGCTCAGAAAATTGGCTTTCATCTCGAAATAACACTTAGTTGTTAACATAACACGCAAGTGTGCATTATTCTCGTTCTATGGTAAAAAACAAAATTTATTATATTAAGGCGATGGCCATAAAAAACAGGAATGGTTTATTTAAGCTAAGCTTTCATCAAACTTATAAGTTCCAATTCGCGTTTCATTTGATCACCAGTGAAAATGGGTGGATAAAGAGTAGGGTTGGGATTAAATATTTCGAGAGGTTGCAACATATTGTCACTCGCGATATGTAGAAAGAATGTTGAGGATATTCTCCATAGAGGGCGATTTGGACGGGTTATTTTAGCATTTTCGATAGCTTGTAGAGTTGCTTCTGTCACGACAACTTCATGATAACCCGCAGTAATTTCACCGCCTGTTAACCATTCAAGTTGTTTACCAGCTTGAACTAATAAATGGCCTTCCGGTACATGAACTTGTATCTTGTCATATCCGTTACGTGGCCAAATATGCAGGCCGGGGAATCGACTTTTACCATGAATAGTCAAAAAATTAATATCATAATGAAAGCCGGCACATATCATACCAAGCTTTCCGTATTTATTCAAATCAGTTGCAGTAGGAGCCAATAAATGTGGACCATATTTTGCAAGATCAGGAAAAGTGTTGGCAGGCAAACCAAATCCAACGGACAGCATTTCTGCAACACCAACTACAGCTTGGTGCATTTGATTCCCTCTTTGATTCATGATGGTAGGCCAGGTGTCTTTAAAAACATCAGGAACAACCGGTTCAGCGTTAAGCTGAGGAAATTTTGTTTCTTGTGGTAGTTCGCCTATACGCCAAAAGAAACGCCATTTTGGATCAGGTCCTGTGGAAATTAAAGGACGGCTTTCTTCAGGCATTTTGTTTATTAAACTTTGACAATTAGGATCACGATGGCATTTCGGTTCTTCTTTGAACTCAGGAGTAACGCCAACTTGATAACCAATTTCTGGGCGGGCATCTTTGAGTTTAACCTCAAATGGTTGATCAAAGTAGTCTTCTATTAAATCAATAAATGTAGAATTATCTGCTTCGGTTACTCTAGGATCTTTAACCAATAAAGCCCCATAGTCTTTTAAAGCTTTCGCAGTCTTTTTACATTCATTAATAGCTAAAGGATCATTTTTATCATTAAGATAAAGACCAAGGTCGATTATGGGGAGGGTTAAGGTAGTCATTTTCTGCGGAAACGGGAAGTTATATGTCAATATCGATATCTGATATAATTACAAAGTAGACAGATTCCAGAACGTTTATAAAACTGTACCAATTTTTAAATGCTTATAAACTTGGACGATCAACGATCAGACGATCATGCAATGCATCATGTGGACGATCATCGGATTAATCGGATTAATCGGATAAATTCATGAAGCCAAAACATGAAAAATAGAAGAAACGGCAGCCTGAACGCTTTGAAACATTAATGAAAAATGTCGGGGAAGCAATTTTACTATGTTAACCCTAACCTAAAATGCCCTAACTTTAAACTTAATTAAATAAATCATATCTATATCATATCTATATATTTAATTTATTATTCTCCGCTTTTAGACATCCCCCAAAATGGAATGATTTGCAGGGATGTTTTGGTAATCTCGATAATTTTTATATATAAATTAAGATTCGTTAGTTAGAAGATACACAAAAAAAAACAATGGCTTCTAATTCTTCTCTCATCACTAATAATCGAAAAAGAATCTACTATGCACCAAAATATTGGCAATTTGATCCTATTTATCAAACCAATGTGAAATTATTCATTAAAGACCTATTGAATCTCAAGACAGTTCAGTTTATAGAAGGTTTGTGTTTTATTAGTGTTTTATTAATGTAAAAAAATGTCGATTTTGAATAGGATTCTTTGTTTTGTAGGATCCAAAATTACTCATGGCTTTTTTTATGGAAATCATCCAATCCAAGAAGTTGATATAATTGCGACAGTAACCGCTTTTGACATAAATGAAGGCAAAAAATATACTAAATACACACGTAAGGTTAAATTATGAATTCTATTTTGCGCTTATTTTTTGTAAAAAATTCGCGTTACTCATAAGCAATAATTATTTAAGTTGACGATGGATCAGCTACAATTGAATTTACAGATTTCAAAAATGAAGATGGGCCGATATTGGAGCCAAAATTTGATCGTGGAACAGTTATAAGAGTTATTGGAAAAATAAAAGATTATAACGGTAAAAGAGAAATTGGTAACAGCTATGGGAGAATGTGTAAGTAGAAGTTGATATACTTTCATAATCAATTTATTTTATATTATTCTTTTTTTTATAATATATATATACTTTTTAGGGACCGAAAAGGATCCAAACGCTGAGTTACTTCGATGGTTAGAAATTCTTACGCTAAAAAAGGATGTTTACTCAAGACCATTTATTCTTCCTAAAAGAACGACAACCATTAATAATGTCAGCGATGTCGAGGTATTTTGTGAATAGAACCTCCTTTCGCTATATATATTTTTGCCGATTAATATCTTTTTATTTACTCAAACAGGAAGTACCACCTATCTCAGAGGTGCCAGAATCAGTTCCAAATACTTCAATGTCAAGTTCTCGAATTTTCGAAAGAATGAAAAATTCGGATAATCAATCTTCATATACAGAAGAAGCGTTTACCGATTTAATTACGCGTTATATTTATAAAAATAACTTAACCAGGTTCAGTATAGTAAGGATAAGACAATCTCCTGAGTTGAATGAATTCGCCAAAAAAGTAGCGATCAACCAAGTAAGTATTTTATTATGGAATAATGTATATTTATATAGGTAAATATATATTTGAGATTAATATTTGACACTTTAGTATCCATGTCCCAAACCAAATGGTCGACAAGTGGCAGCACTTTTCGCTAAGGCCTTAAGATTGTTGGTGCTTGAAGGATTTTTGAATTATGGGGATTATCATAAAATATCTTATTGTGTTGACTTGCTATTTGTAGATATGGTGAGAGAATGGAAAGTTCAAATGTAAAATGTTATAATTACAGACTTTGTCATTTGTGTTTGCAGTAGAATTTTTTAGAAATTTGAAATCTGTGATAAATTTTCATTAGAAAATATTTTTTCGAAAAGAAATCTCTTTTCTTTTTTTTTAATATTAGCTCAAAAATGATTCTACGTAATGCAACATAATGAACTTTAAAAACCTTAACTTTCCGTTATATCTATTAAAGTGCGAAAATTTCTCCTCGATCAACCAATCAAATCAACCGATTTTTAGGTAGATTTATGTTACACGTACTCTACCACACCGAAATTACCTGGTAAATTACCGTAATTTGCGAATGATAATTTCTTCTTGGCAACCCTGTCCTTGATATGATATTGTAGTTAAATGTGAGGTCGAAAATAAAGGGTCGAATTTCATAAATTTGCCGTGATGAAAAATCGACGATGATTATTCGGCCGAATTCGATAAAAGTAAAAGTAAATATTATTTTAACGATGAGCTTGAGCTTGAATTTCATACTTTTCAAATATGGGCCCTTCTATGTTATTTGTGTAATTATCTTCATTTTGGACCTTGAAGTTCACTAGGTAAATATTACTATATTTTTTACGAAACTATAACTCCTTTTTATATAAAGCTTAGAATTAAAACTTTAGAGTATATAGTTTGTTATATCCAGAGTTCCGTAATATACAGCAGAGGTTCGTTATAAAGAGAGTTGACTGTATATGTCAAAAAAAACCTTAATAGGCATTGGATGTGGGATAATCTCGTTTTGTTATGTTAATACCGATACTGTAATAGAGGTTATATGCAGTGATACATAATCAACCTGCTCATAATCGGATGAATACATGATTTGAATTTTTTTTTTGTTATTTCGGAATCTTTCTTATCATCATAATAATGATAGCGTTATTCCTAGATTACGAAATTTACTCTTATTCTTGGGGCAGCTTTAGTTCAAACTCAGTTGGGAAATAGCCTTTGGCCAATAATTAGTTTATTCCCCGTTTCATGGGGAATAAGTAGAATAGCAGATAGTTTTAAGTCAGGGACACGGAATTTATGCAATAGAAATTTGTAAATTATATGTGGCAGTATATTGATTTAATGATGTTTACTAAGCAAAAAAAAAATGCAATTTTATCTTATAAAAAGACTTAAATTTTTAAATACTGCGCTCAACTAAAAAATAAAAAACATGATTTATTCATCGTTAATTAAATAAATTTTATTGCAGTTTGTGGCCCCTATGATTGATTTTTTATGATTAAAATGATTGTGGTGTCGGCCAATTTATCATAAATCTGAAAACTCAGATTCATGATAAATTGGCTGAATCATTTAATCATAAAAATTAATACAATTTTGCGAACCGCAATAAGTAATTTATATCAGATTTTGATAAAAAAAAAAAACCAACTACGTATTGACAAAATCTACATATAGGCTTATTCTTTAAATTCAAGTGCAATGGGCACATATCAAAAGTAATAAATTTTTTGAATGTATTTATTTAGGATTTAATAACATTTTTACACTTTAACATACTACAGTACTTAGTTCCACATTAAGCATTTATCCGGATCTGAATTTATTCGGATATCCATTCACTATTGATATCTGGATAATTATCCGTATACCTGTCGGATTATCTGGATATCTGAGCGATTTGAATTAGCGGGTTTGATAATTCGAGTTTATCACGTAAATTTTGTAATATTCTTGAATTTATCATAAATTTATCCTTGGTAAATTTTTTAACGCAAGAATAAAACAACTCAGAGAGAGATCCCCAAAATTCCGGGTCGGGCCTGGTCGGATGAGCCGGAATTTATCAATTTTGCCCAAGATCCCAACTGCTAACTAACCCTAATCCCGACCCTACCCCGATGCATTCCGTCCATTCCGACCCGGAAATTTGGGATCCCCTGTAAAAATTGGGAAGTGTGCGTCCACTATCGAAAAGTTTCGGAAAGTACAGTCGGCGAACATCAAGGTCGGCGGGAATTTCGGGGTTGGATTTTTTTAACCAAACACTAACGCTAATGGTTAGTAAATTTTACATATGAAAAAAAACGAGACCACATTGATATTTCGTGAAATCACTTGTAACAAATTCTTTAATTTTTTACACATAATATGAATTTGCTTGCAAGTTTTTTGCAATCTCTGGCTCCCATTTGTCGCCATTAGCAAGAAGTTTCTCTTTGTTGTATAACAATTCCTCACGCGTTTCTGTTGAAAACTCGAAGTTAGGCCCTTCCACTATTGCATCAACTGGGCAAGCCTCCTATAAATGTAGGATTTAAATCAGTATTACGATACAATCGTTATTTTCTTGTGTAAATTAATTAGTACCTGACATAGTCCACAGTAACTTAATTTTTTAAAAATCCAAATTTTTATGATATTAGTAATTGTATGATTACTGATAAATATTAATCTTTTGAATAAATTAATGTAAAATGTACTCACATGCATTTTGTCATATCGATATCATAACGTGTTGTTCGACGACTACCATCATTCCTTACTTCGGCCTCAATTGTAATAGCTAGTGCAGGGCAAATTGCCTCACATAACTTACAAGCTATACATCTAAATATTTAAAGTTAATTAGAATGCAAGGAAAAATAATATTATAATATTAATTAATTAGAAACAAAAATGAATAATTTTATTTTACCTTTCTTCACCTAAAAATTAGCACCTAAAAATAAATGATATTTTCAAATAAATGCTTTTCAAAAATAAATCAAAAGATTTACCAGTGGGATATCTTCTTAGAGCATGTTCACCTCTAAATCTAGGGCTCAATGGTCCCTTTTCATATGGATAAAAAATTGTATAAGGAGGTCTAAAAAACTGTTCTAGTACCACCCACATGCCTCTCAACATTTCAGTAAAAAAGAATAGTTGTGCTGTTTTATCAAGAGTACTTGGAGGTTTTATTTTTTTGGAGGACTTAACTTCCGAGGCTGTTGAATGTGATGTTGGTGGTAATTCTGCATACTTTTTGATTTTTGTACCCGAAAATTTGCGAGAAACTTGAGAAATAACTAGGGAATTTTTGAAAAGAATAAAAATAAATTAAAAAAGTTTAAAATAGATTAGAGACAATTAGTTTTTTCAACCAGAACAAATAGCTACCAGGTATCAAAGAAGGTGTGTAAGCTCTACGAACAGTATTTTTAGCAATACCACTAAGCCTGAACATTATTGTCATCAAAGATTAATGTGTGATATCGATATTGCCTTAATAGTTACAATCTTTTTTTGCACATGTGTGTGTAAATCATATGATTATATCGTATATGTTGTGCCCCAAATGAAAATCGGCCCAGTTGTCAATTGGGCTAGCCCAGATGACAATTTGAATTTGGGCTA